CTCGCGGCAGCAGTTGATTCTATGTATCAAACAATTCAATCAAACCTCAATTCAGTCTATAAACATTGCCTTCTCTCAACATAACTACCGGTAACACTTCCATGAGGGGGGGGGGGCAAGGGTACAGTTGTTTTATGGGAAATAAAAAGGGCTTTTTACAATTTACAAGGAAAAAAAGATGTTTTTTTCAGTTTACAGTGAAAATTGAATGTTATTTTACATTTTACGTACGGAAGATTAAGAAAGAAAACCTAGAAAATTCTTGTACGTACCAAGAAAAATGACACATTTTTACAGTGTACGAAAAAAATATTTGATTGATTACGTTGTATGTATAGCCTGTGATTACAGAATTACGAAATTTATTTTTTCAATTAACGTTGTACGAACAAAAAAATATTGCAATTATGTTGAACGAAAATAACCCTTGCTCCCCCTTCCATGATAGATGATAGAGGGCGCTGTGCGCAGTAGAACTGATAATAGGTATTCAAGTCCTGATTGTGAATCAGCTCTTGTCTTTCTTGATGACTAACATTTGAGATTACACCTAGTTTGTTACTTGCAGTGACTTGTGATACTTAATACTAGTAAGGGACGACGTCAAAAGATTGATGTCAGATAAAAAACTTAATTCCTTTAGTTTTTTTCAAGACTCCCCTACCCCCCACTGAAACTTAATTGATAAATATTGGTCATGGCGTCAGACTACATTCACCATTAAATACAAATTGATAATCGGACAGTAGTATTGCATAGCAGTTGGCTGTCGGGTGGGTGTAAACAGATTTTACAAATGCACCTCATTTAACGCACAGATTTACACTCGAACCAAACCATTTTTCTGTTTTTTTTCCCTTTTCGGTTATTTCTGTCCATGATTGGATAGAAAAAAAACAAACTACAAATACTCCAAGATTTTTTTGACTTCATTAAATAATAAAATCGTTTTTGTCGGATGGAAACTTTTTGAGGTCAAAACCCCCCACCCCCAAACTAAAGGAAATAAGTTTGTTATCCGACATCGATCTTTTGACGTCTTCCCTAACTCACAAGCAGTGTGTGATGCAATCATCAATGAAGAAAATGGTAGATTTCCTCTCTCAATCCAGGTGATGTAATGGGACCTACTTTGACTAATCTTCATAATTTACTGAGACTACCATTTGGTTGTGGTGAGCAAAACATGATTCATTTTGCTCCCAATGTCTATGTGCTGCGATACTTAGCAAAAACCAACCAGGTCACACAGAAACTGATGGATGAGGCACTACGATTCCTTGTGGTTGGTAAGTTTAAGTTTTACACTTTATATGACCATGGTGGAATTTAGTTTTCAATTTGTGAGGTATGTACCGTATCCTCTAGACGGCATTTGAGACCAGTTTTGAGACTCCATTTGCGAATTAGTTCCGTGGACGGGTTCAGGATATATTCCTGACATTAGTTTGCATGGATGTACACTACGTCGGCTTTGAATATCCAGACCTGACTCTTTGAATAAAATATTTAAACTATTTGTCTAAACTGACTTTAAATAGAGAAATGTTTTGCTTTCATATTGAAACTGTGCCTTACCTATATTTTAATTGTGTTTTGCAGGGTATCAGCGACAGGTCACATACAAAAGACAAAATGGTTCTTACAGTGCTTTTGGAGAGCGTGACTCACAAGGCAGTATGTGGTTAACAGCATTTGTGTTAAAATCTTTTGCACAGTCAAGATCATTCATTTATATTGATCCTAATGATATGAAGAAAAGTGTTACATGGATAATACAACAACAAAGAAAAGGTGGTTACTTTCCACCAGTTGGCAGAGTCTTGAATAGAGATATACAGGTGAGGAATTCCACAATTCTACTTCAGTATTTTTAATTAAGCTCACAAACTCAAGACCAAACATTTCACAAATGCCTTACATTAATAACAAAAAATCCAAAAACAGGTGACCGCTGCATCTGTGCGTCTTCACCTTGTATCTCCGGCAGGTCTGGACATTCATTTTTTACACTTACATCATGCATCTTAGAGTACATATGCACATTCATTTGCTTCAAGATGGTCAAATGGTAGTCATTTTAATGTGAAAAATTCATCAAAATATTAAGCATTTCAGCAATTCTTGATCTGGAACATTTGTGGACCTTCTTGCTCATCATTTTGTTTTTCAGTCAGGATTCAAAATGACTGACTAGTGGCCATTCACTTTTAATGAATGCCAATCTAGATCCATATACTGACATGCTCCAACCATTCATGTTTAAACTTTATATATCTGACTTCCTAATTTTTACAAAAAATAAGCAACATAATGGTAAAATGTGCTGTACTAATACATGTAATAAGCTCTAAAAATAAGTGTATTAATGCAAATTGTAATGTTTTATACAAAGATTTGTTGGTTTGCATTAACTCTTTCACAACAGACAAATGTATGAACATTTCATTGAGTTCAAATTCACTACTTTATCTCCAGGGTGGTTTAAAAGGCAGAGTGTCACTGACATCATACGTAGTAATAGCCCTCTTAGAAGTGGGCGTGGAGACAAAAGTAGAAGAAAATGCTGTAGATCGTGCACAAACATTTTTAGAATCCAGTGTAGAGTCTGGTCATATTACTGATCCATATACTGCAGCAGTGACTGCGTACGCACTGACATTACTATCAAGTAAACATGCATCAGCTGCTGTAAGAATTATGAAAAGTTTTGCCATAAGAAAGGGTGAGTACATTTTGTCAGATGTGATTGACCTTTCCCCCGCAATGAAACGTTTGAATGCCTTTGCTAGGCTAACAAAGTTGTGAAGTGGTCTTCAAACTGTTTTCTGTTCTATATAAATTTTGCAGTATTTTTGAAATTTTTGTCTCCCACTCTCTCATGGAAATGAAATTATCAGAAATGTTTTATCCTAGACTAACTTTGTATGTTTAAATCAAAAATTCACAACTTTGATGTAAACATACTTCTCCACAAAACTGTTCATGATTCCACCAAGAGTGGACCACAGAGTAATGTATACACTTTGAAATAAGCTACATACACAAATTTGAAACAATTTTGATTTCAATACATAATTTTGATTTCAATACATAATTTTGCTTTCAATACATAATTTTGATTTCAATACATAATTTTGATTTCAATACATAATTTTGATTTCAATACGTAATTTTGATTTCAATACACAATTTTTATTAGCTAAATTAGCTAAAATAACATGCTAGCAATAAAAGACAGTAGATCTGATTAGAAGTGCCTGTAATCTGTGTAACCAATCAAAGTTGGCATGGCATATGGCAATGGGCATGAAACAAAATGTAGGGATGTTGAATTATCAAAAAAGATCACATTTTAATCCATACTCGCTGAACAGGAATCTGCCAAATTAATGTGGCTGACCTGACAGCCTGGTTGGTGAAAATGACATTATACACTGCACCACTAACCAGATGTATTTTTTTCAGATGGTTTTACATACTGGAGATTCTCTGGTCCCCTTGATGAAACAGCATCCATAAATGGTTTAGAGCAATCTGTAACATCTGCTGAAGTAGAAATGACTGCATATGGACTGTTAACATATACTGCAATGGATGATATTGCTTCATCCTTACCAATTGTGAAATGGTTATCTAAACAAAGAAACGCTTTAGGTGGATTTACATCAACACAGGTTAGTTAGTACAGCATCTCTCTTGCTGATCATATCATGAATTCTTGAATTTCAGCGAATATTTTTGTCATTTTTTTGGGAACATGCTATTTTTGACTCTTCTTGAAAACCGCTACTCCAATTACTTTGATACTGTGTATGTGTGTACCTTGATTCATTTAGATGAACATTCTAATTCACAGACATTCTATAACTGGAATTGATAAATCCACTACTTGGGTACTATAAAACTTTTCCTTATCACTGATAAGATCTAAACGTAGGAGTTGAGACACTAAAAACAGAATGTAGACAAAGCCATGGTTATTTGTTTGGTTATTTGTTTTACAATGTTTATGTAACTATGCATGCACTTATTATTGCAAGACTCTGCTCTGCATCCATTCATCCTGAGTAATATTTCAGAACCCTCTGGACCAAATCAGTTCATTCTTTGCATGTGCTTAGTACTTTATCTCAGACATATGCACATGCAGTGGTTTACTGATTCAATCGAAGATAGTTGACTGGCAGCTATTTTGTTTTTTTGAAAATATCATTAACAATGACTTGTTTCCAAAACAAAATTGAGACATGCACTGCATGGTGACAGGTTATATCAGTTGCCTTTTAAATTGTGACAAGTAACTAATCTTGTTTACCTGTATGTCCATGTGAAAAAGGGTCTGCTAAACTTGCAGGTCTTAATTCCTCCTCTCTTTTACCTGAAGTCCCTCATACCTCCTCTTCTTTTCTCTCTCATCTTTTTTCGTCCATCTCTTTTTCATTTCTCCATTCCTGCTCTTCTCTCTATTCCATTCATTAACTTCTTCATTTCATTTACAGGATACTTGTGTAGCACTGCAAGCATTGTCCGAATATGCAGTCTTGGCATTTATAGGTGGTGTTAATGTCACTATCGAAGTAGCATCTACTAATTTAGATCTCCAAGAAATCTTTACTCTTAATAAAGACAATATAAAAGTAATGCAGACTGCAAGGGTACGTACCAGCTATGACTTAATTAATCTAGGATACTCTGAAACATGTCTTTTTCGCGAGCATGTCTTTTACGCAAATTTAGTGAAAGAACTGATTTGCTAATTCAAGATGTCGCTAATGACTTTATTATCAATTCAAAATGGCCGCCAAACAAAGAAATCAACAATGACAAGAGAGATTCGCTAAATCAACATTTCGCTATTACGTCATTTTACTACAATTCGCTATTAAAATTGCATGCCGCTTTTTCAACATGTTTTACAGTATTATTTTTGCATTTTAGGCTGATAGATAAATGTGCTAATTTCAAAATTAAAATATATATGCAAACTGAAACATAGAACGTGTTGTTTTCTTCAAATATTAATGAATATTTAACATCAAATTCACTGAAAATTAAATCCAAGAAAAATTTTCTTTTTTACAGTATTCATTGTTTTTAATATACATTGAATAGCATGAATTTCCCAACATGTATTTAGTGCAAAGTCTGGCAAATTTTTAGTATTTTTTTTTATTTTGAACTACATGAACATAAATTTCCATTGCCTACTTGTCTTGATAAAATTTGTAGAAAAAAATGAATCAGATTTGTTTTTTTGGAAAATGGGCATCAATAAAGATCTGTAGCTGTCTATAATAATAACAAATTTTTATTGCATCCTTGAAATAAATTTTCATCAGTTAAAAACAATAACAATGAAATACATAAAAAAAAAATGATAAAAGTAAGAATTATCTTTTAATTGGATGTTCTGTTCTAATATCAAATATGGCATATACATATTCACCCACTTGTCTTGTAATTTCAACATCATTGCAACTCATCAGGTATATAAATTTCTGATTAATGTTGTAGGCTGTGTTTGGAATTATTACATCTCTCAATAGTTGTCTATATGTAATGTAATAAAATGTGAATTGATTTGTTTTTCTTAGATACCTACAGTTCCAACTACCTTGTTTGTCAATGCGGATGGGGAAGGATGTGCTCTGCTGCAGGTAATGTCACAACTAGAGCATTGATCTACAACTACAACTTTTTTTATTGGTTATAGGGGGGGGGAGGTCTTTAATGAAAATGATGATAATAGTGTAGAGTAAAAAAAAATGTCAAAATGAGCTTTATTTTACAGCTTTCTAAATAGTCCCACGACTGCACATAGTCTTTGGCTCCCTCGCCTCACCATGAAAAGTGTTGACTTAGTACAGATGCAATGTGATTTTTTGCAAAAATGCAAGATGGCTGTCAATTTTATGGAATATTTCATGTATGTATGGGGGTCTAAAAACTAACTCTGCGACGCGATTGTGCGACTCGCCGAATGTCGATTATTGCACTCTGCGACAGGATCGCAGTGTCACTCTGCGAAAAGCACGATTCCTATTGGTTGGTGGGTCGAACAGCGCGAATCCCAATGGTCGATGTTCACTGCATGACTTATAAAAAATTAAGTTTTAAACGGTACGGTAAAAAAAAGTGTGTAAACACTATGTACCGGCGACATGCCGCACTGTTCGGTGATCGGCAAGCACATGGAAGACAAATTGTGGGACCAAACAAATGACACATGGTTTACGGTGATTGGACACATCACACCGCTGGCTAGAAAAATTAAATAGTGTAACATGCACGTTGGTCTTGGCTGCCTATTTACGGTGTAATGTTATCACCATCTTGGAGTTGTAAGGCTTCGTCCTGACGACTATGCTCATTAGCATAGGTGGCAGCTTCAAAGCGAGTGGAACGCGAAGTACTTTTCACGCGTTCTGCAATGAATGTTGTACGTCAGCTTTGAGTGCATCAGGGAAAATAATTTGCATGCAGTGAAAAAAAAAATCATTCACGATGTGCAACGTTTTGCCATGACAGCAGTTGTTTGCAATCGTCTGCCTTCGTTTAATCATAAACGGACTCCAAACTTGTGGTCTACGATCGATTACTGGTATTTTTACCAGAAATGAAATACGTTGTAACAGTTGTGAAAAGTAAACAAAAACGGCGTTGGTTTGTGGTATGAATGGAATTATTTTTGTATCATAATTTTCGAAGTCAGTATTACTGAAAATTATATTTATTTTTTTTAAATGACGCCAAATTTCGGTGGTCCATATTCAATTGATC